TGAGCGAGATGATGGATGGATTGACAGGCCAGGTTATTAAGCTAGGTGAGTTTTCTCCTTCTTAAATGTTTGCTATATTTATTAGTATTTATTCAGTCAATCCATAAATATTCATAATTTATTTGCATCAATCAATAAATATTCATAAATTAATTTATTCATGATTTATCCGTATCACTCCATAAATAGTGTCGTATTTATTGCGTCATAATTATTTTTCACCATCATATTATTACGTCATAATATTGCCTTCATATTATTATTATTATTATTATTATTACGTCACTGTTTGCTATAGTTTTCTTAATGATTAAGTAAGAATATTTTTATAATATTTATGCCTCTTTGGGGAGCAAGCAGTGCAATAGCACAGTGGTTAAAGGCGCCTGTTTTGGCTGTTGTTGGGGTGACCAGGCAGGTTTCGAATGCAAACATCTCCACTTCAATCACACGTTATTGGGGCAATGCGTTGTATTTATATTCACGTGTTTACATACGCTGTTTGTGTGTGTTTGTGTGTGTGTGTGTGCGTGTTGGTGTGTGTGCGTGTTGTTGGTATGTGTGTGCGTGTGTGTGCGTGTTGATGTGTGTGTGTGTGTGCGTGTTGGTGTGTGTGTGTGCGTGCGTGTTGGTGTGTGTGTGTGTGTGCGTGCGTGTTGGTGTGTGTGTGTGTGTGTGTGTGTTGTTGATACGCCTGAGTTATGCAACAAAATGTAACAGTTGTTACAGTTATTTTGGGGTTGTGTGGGAAGTGTGTTGGTGTTATTTGGATGAAGATTTGCCTAAATAGCCCGTGCTTTGTTCAAATAAATAAATAAATACACAACAACTTAGCAGTATTCAATCTCTTCAACTAAAATTCTTCAAACCAGCTACTCTCCCTGCTACATTGTGTTTAATTTGTGTTTTGAGGCGATCATCTGTATCTGCGTTAGTTATCCATGATATTATGATATCTGTGGTATTTTGTGCGCGCGCGTGTATGTGTGTTGTGTGTGTGTGTTTGTGAGTGTGTGTCTGTATGTGTGTATGATTTGTATGAAGCTTGCATTTTGTTTGGCATCTTTAAAGCTTGTGCATTTTTAAGGCATATGGATTTTTATTTTGCGTACGGGTGTGTATTTTTTGTATCGGCGTTGTTATGTGGGGCCTGAGATGTTTTATGCCCTCTTGTGTTGAGCTCCGTGAGCACCGTTCGTCATTTCAATGTCCTCCTTATGATCTCTGCGTTCTTTTCTTCTTTGTTTGGTAGTTACGCTCTTTTTCTTGATTTAATGTGCACATTTTCTGGAATTTGTGCTGTTGTTTTGTTTATAATGTTTGTATTTTTGTTTGTAATGTTTGTATTTTTGTTTATGATGTTTGTACTTTTGTTTATCATGTTTGTATACTTTGTATTTTTGTTTATCATGTTTGTATACTTTGTATTTTTGTTTATAATGTTTGTATACTTTGTATTTTTGCTTATCATGTTTGCATACTTTGTATTTTTGTTGATAATGTTTGTATACTTTGTATTTTTGTTGATAATGTTTGGCTGTATAATGCACAAACAATAAAACAAACAATTTCAAATTGAAATGTCTCTTCTAACAAATGTGTTTGTAAATTTTTGTTATTATTCTTCAAAAAATCAGAATCTGGCAAACGCAGAAACTGTTACAGCATGCAAGGCAGTATAAAACGAAAAATAAATAACGGAGAAAAAATGTTTAAGCATGAAAAGTATGGAAAATAAAATAAAGTAATGGCTTAGAAAGGCAAAGAAATAAATTTTTTTATTAATAGACTAGTTAATGACTTTGTAAGTTAGTTTAGTGATCGATAAGAAAAAGTAATAGACAAAATTGAGTAAATGATAAAGTTTTATTGGGGGCTGACACATTCAAGGTATCTTGTGAGGAAGGTCTTTCCTGATATGTGGATTGGGGGAGGACTTGATAGTTTGCGTTGTCGAAGGTCGTGTGTTGTAGTTTTGTTGTAGTTTTGTTGTAGTTTTGTTGTAGTTTTGTTGTAGTTTTGTTGTAGTTTTGTTGTAGTTTTGTTGTAGTTTTGTTGTAGTTTTGTTGTAGTTTTGTTGTAGTTTTGTTGTAGTTTTGTTGTAGTTTTGTTGTAGTTTTGTTGTAGTTTTGTTGTAGTTTTGTTGTAGTTTTGTTGTAGTTTTGTTGTAGTTTTGTTGTAGTTTTGTTGTAGTTTTGTTGTAGTTTTGTTGTAGTTTTGTTGTAGTTTTGTTGTAGTTTTGTTGTAGTTTTGTTGTAGTTTTGTTGTAGTTTTGTTGTAGTTTTGTTGTAGTTTTGTTGTAGTTTTGATTGGCGGCAGTTGTTGTTATTCTCTACTTTCTTGAGTGCGTAAAATGTTTGAAAACCTTTTGTGTTGTCCTGATTGATATGAGGTGCTACGTTAAGTGTAGAGGGAAATGTGATTTTTCTTCTTTCTCGTGCCTTATCCTTTCAGGACATTGGCGACCATCGACCTCCACAAAACCCGATCTTTAACACTTTGTAGTAGTAGAAATGTGGTGACATTGAACAAGTGACACAAGGACTTCACGAATGTTATTCGCTGTTGACCGCGATCTCTTTTCCCTGCAATCTTTCCAGTAGTTGTTAGAATTTTCATTCTTTAATGTAACCAAAAAACTTTAACTGCCCCCGTCGGATTATCCGTAGTAATTTCCTCTTTCATGACCGGACTGTTTTAATACATCTTCATTCGAAGTATGAAAGGTCTAACTAACTTTCATAATTCTTCTCAAAAACCACATCTCAGCGGCGATAATCATTTTTTCGCATTTCTTTAGAAATTGTCCGGGACTCAGAGCCGTAAGTTGGCACAGGAAAAATGTAAGACCCCAACAGTTTTGATTTTGTTGATATTTTGATTTTACTGTTGGTGAGGATGTTTTTCATTCTAGAATATGCATCTTTCGCCGTAGCTATCCTTCTTTTGAGATCCATATCACATTTACAGCCTGAGGTAATCAGACTTCCGAGATAATTAATGCTGTTGACTTGTTTACCATTAATGATTATGTAATGCGATAATTAGCAAGCATCGCAACGAAACAAAATAAAAATGAATAAAAGTAAAAACTAAAAAAAATAAAATTAATAAAACAAAATACTTGAAATTAGCGAAACATAAAATAATTCTTTAAATTAAATGAGGACATGCACGCACCACCGGTTACAAAAATATGTCTGTTTGTCTGTGTGTGTGTGTGTATGTGTGTGTGTGTATGTGTGTGTGTGTTGTGTGTGTGTGTGTGAATAAACCTTTGTTTGTGTGTGTATGTGTGTATTTAAGTTCGTATGGATGTATATTTATGCGTAAGTTCGTAAATGATGTGCTCGCATGTTTTTGAATGTGAGTGTACGTGTGTGTGTGTGTGTGTGTGTGTGTGTGTGCGTGCGTGTGATTTGCATGAATGTGTTCGTTCCTGCGTGTTTGTGCATGTGTATGTCAATTTGTATGTGAGTCTGGGCATGTTTCGGTGGTGGGTGTTTTGAAGGTGTGTGCATTTGTGTGCGTGCGTGTTCGTGTGTATTTAAAAAACAAAACGTTTGCTTAAAAAGATTTTTTCATTTTTCTTCCATATTAACTCATGCCTCTTTCCTCTATTTCCTTTTGTAAAATGATTTTTAAAATTAAAAGATACTTCGGCATCCTTTTGAGAGGTTTTATTTTTGTCTGCTTGTTCTATATTTGTTGCTTGCAAATGCAAAGTCAATGAGTTTTCTATTAATACAAATACCAATACAAAAATACAGACGTGTAAACACACACACACACGCACACGCACACGCATACAAAAACGAACTTTAAAACATGCAAGTGTACATGAAAAACGAAATTTTATTTTTTATTCAAACTTATTACATAAACAAATTCATATATTCAAACGCACACACACACACACACACACACACACACACACACACACACACACATACTTACACGCATATATAGCATACATACAAACATACACACACATTCATACATACAAACATACACACACATTCATACATACACACACATTCATACATACAAACATACACACACATTCATACATACAAACATACACACACATTCATACATACAAACATACACACACATTCATACATACAAACATACATACATACATATACAAATATATACAGCATTCAGCCTTCATTATAAGATTGGAACATTTAATACACGATACGATGCATTGTATCGGATACAATATACAATAGGATGTATTTCATTTGCTTCCCAGAACAATTAAAACGTATTTATTTTTAAAAGTAATTTATTAATTGTCACAATAGAGTTAGGAGTTTTCTATTAATACTAATACTAATTAATACTAATACAAAAATGCAGACGTGTAAACACACACACACACGCGCACACACACACACACACACACACACACACGCAACACAAACACACAGACACACACATCCACAAAAACGCACACGCACACGCACGCACATAAAAACACACATACAAACATAACTGCTATGTTTTGAGCCGGCCAGCAGCACCTTCAAAGAACTCCAAGCACGGCCACAACGAACCACGTTAACATTTTCGCCCTGATCAGCACAACTATTACTTCTAATATTAGCAAAAATATTGTATAAATTGTATTATTGTTATTATTGTTATTATTATTGTTATTATAATTGTTATTTATATTATTTATTACCTTTATTACTGTTATAAAACTACGAAATTATATTTTTTGGGTAACAGAGAAGGCAATAAAGCTATCTTTTTTTTGCGAGAGAAGAGAAAAAATTTGGACATCGTCACCATCATCATCACCATCACCATCATCATCATTATCATTATCATCGCTGTCGAGCATGAAAATGAAATTTAACTCGAATAAATTTGTTACCGCGAATCAAAAAAATTTGAATGTCTATCATCATCATCGTCATCATCATCGTCATCGTCACCGTTTAACTTACCGATTCTCACATTCGAAACGATTCTTCAACTCGCGACGAATGACCGAATCATTCCGTCCGACTCCGAATACATTACTTAGCAACACACACTTCATCGCCATCATCATCCTCTTCATCCTCTTCATCTCTCTCATCATCGACTCATCACTATCTCTCCTTCATTTCATCGTCGTCATCATCTGCACGAGGACCGTACTGAAATACCGAAAAACATCACCAAATGTTCGCAAAGAACCCTTGCATTCGACCAGCACTGCCGATCGAATAGATACGGTTACTGAAAAGTTGAACAGAAGATCGCAGGTCTCCAAATTACTCCAGCCTCACAATAATTTGTTCAACAATAACAACAGCAACAAAAGCAACAACAACAACAATAATAATAATAATAATAATAGTAATAATAGTGATGATGATGATGATGGTTGTAACGATAGCTCGATATCCAAATTTAGTTGGGATTTGAATTCGGCGCCCACATTGGAATCAGAACCTTCCTACCGAGTAACCGATTCGAATACCGATTTTAATCTAAATAGATCGACAATTTCGTTGATCAATTTTATGAATAATTATAATATTAATAATTTTGTAATAAAATCAAAAAATTTTCAAAACTTCCCCAAAAAACTGAACGACTTCGCTAAACGAGAAGCAGTTTCGAACGACCGAATAAGTGAGAACTTCAAAGGCTGCTATTGCAACCGGTCAAACAGTGAACTCGATTTTGAAACATTTCAGCTATCGGATACTCGGCAGCAGCATCGACCACATCGGGAGAGGAGGAGACAATCGATACCGATACCGATACTGACACACGACCAGCCCTGCACCGTCGCACCGAACAACCCACCGCCAGAAAGATCGTTTAAAAACAATCGAATCCACTCTTACCTCGCCAACATCAAGTTGAGAGATGCTTTCAAAAGTCGATCGCAGTGTTGCAATAAATACCGATGGGCCGGTTGCTTTGATTTCAAGTTGAAACCTCGCAAAATGTTCTCCAGTTTGATTAATATTGCAAATCTTAAAAGGCTGAAACGGTATTCGATTCTATTGATATCGGTATCGCAAGAATTGAAATTATTTCAGAAACTTCTTTTAACGACTTTGCTGTCGTTCCTCGCCTATCGATATTTTACGGAACCGTATCCAACCGGCGTATCGATCGAGCGACTCATGTTAGAGAGCAAGTTACTATTTGATAGAGAAGGCAAGAAACAATGCCGAGACTCGGTAAACCGACCGGTACAGCCCTGCTTCAACGGCGATAACAATGAAAACAATGATAACGGTTTTGATAGCATGAACCTTGAAGATGATGATGAAGATGAAAATGATGATGACGACGCTCATCTAACGGTGAGATTAAACGGCTTCAAAATATTCGAAAGTAATCGGATACCGAGCAATTACTATTCGAAACACGCTCCAACGGAAATGGTCCATTACTGTGAGAACGACGATGATGATGATGACGAAGATTATGTTGACGATGATGATGAGGAGGATGATGATGAGGATGATGATGATGAGGAGGATGAGGATGATAACAATGATAAGGTGATAAGCGGTAATGATAGGCAGAAAAAAATTTCAAGTGAAACCAAATCACTAACCCACCACCACCTCCACCATCCCCACCACCACCACCATCATCACCCCTATCGTCAAAATCCCGCCTTAACTCAGAACGCCATCTTCTTCCTCCTTACCAACATCATTCAAGACGTCGAAGTCAAGAGCCTCAGAGCGTTCAAAATATTCGCCGAATCGATGAAACCATCGTCAGTGTATCGAAGAGTCCGAAGCACTCGTCACATCAACGATGCAAGAGCGCAGACGACGACATCTGTAAATTCTGGGTCGTCATCATCATCGTCGTCATCATCATCATCATCATCATTAACTTCACAATCATCATCATCCTCGTTATCGTTTTCACCTCTTCCACCATCACCGCCATCTCTACTTCATAAATATTTGTCCTCATCGTCTTCACCACAATTTTTATCATTATTATCATCATCATCACCATCGTCATCATCACCATCATCATCATCACCACTATTGCCACCATCATCATCACCCCCGCCTCATAAATATTCATATCGGTTTTTCGGAGACCACCAGAGAGCAGCTGTCAATCATCTAATAAAGGAAAAATTATTATCTGCTAAAAATAGAGGAACGTCTCAGGGATGTGTGTGTGGATGCGGTCCCGGTCGGTTGCAGGGGTTGTCGAGTAAATACGGTTCCGTTAAGTTTCAAAAACATGCGAATGAAAACAGTTTCGGTATAAGTCAGCAGGAGTGTTCGAGTGAATGCGGTTTCCGTGAAGTTCAGAGGGGCAGCGGGTCAAGTGGGTGCCGTCCCGCTGGGGTCCGCAACTGTGAACATGTTAATCAATTTTTACGAAATAATAATAATAACAATAATAAAAAGAATAATAATAATTCGTCATATTTTATTATAATGATAATAACAACAATAATAACAATAATAAACTTAATTATATCAACCTCGAGGACGATAATAAAAATTAAAATCATAACCTACCGGAACCATGGATTAGAAGTGAAATTCAAGAATAGCAACAACAACAACAACAACAACAACAAAAACAACAACAACCACAACAACAAAAACAACAACAACATTAACAAAAACAGCAACAACAACAACAACAGCAGGAGTAACGATAATGCCACAACAAGCGTCGCACCTACCAGACCAAATGACAGGGACCTCGATGACGTCATCGTCATGTTGCCATCAAAAAATTACAACGAACACGACGGTGGTGATGATGATTATAATGATGATGATGATGATGGAAGAGAAATGAGTGAGAGAATGGAAGAAGGAATACAGATGAGAGATGGTAGTCAAAAAATGAAGTGTCAAAGAATTTATACTGAAACTAAAGTTTGAAACTAGAGGATGGATTGAATGAATGAATGAATGAATTGCTCATGTATGTAAATGTTTGGTTGATCGATCGATTGATTATTTATTAGATTGATTCAATGAACGAATGATTGATTGAACGACTAATGATTAAAAAAATAAATGAATAGTTGATCAATTAACTAATTATTTTATTAACTTTATTACTTCATTATTGGTCAACTCACTCAATCATTCACTCAAAGAGATACGAGCCCAACCGACCAATCAGTAAAGAAATTACTATCCGTAACGAAAATTTTCATTTAAAATAATCATCGGTTTTAATAAATTTCAATTAAATTAACTTTAAGCCATAATACGTTTATTCAATTTAACTTCCCATTTTCATAAACTCCAAGAAATAATTCCTCCCCATGGACATGCCCTATCCATCCCACCCCATCGCACGAGCCATCAATTATAACAAATTAAACCGCTGATATCATTAATGCGAATTTCAACGTTGTTGTTATTGTTGTTATATACCAAAGGTCATTCTCTAGTTTGTATCACTCAAAGATATCAACAGTAAACACTGACAGACAGACAGACTGACAGACAGACAGACTGACTGACAGACAGACAGACAGACAGAGGGCATTTGAATACGTACGAATCCGGGCATCACGCACTTGCATATGAGAGGCAGGGATCTCTGTGCATTCAAACCCAGTAGTGGTAGTAGTAGTGGTAGTAGTAGTAGTAGTAGTAGTAGTGGTAGTAGTTGTAGTAGTAGTAGAAGTAGTGGTAGTAGTAGTGGTAGTAGTAGTGGTAGTAGTAGTGGTAGTATTTTTTAGCAACATAAGTATTATTACTAGCAGTATAAACAAAAAAGATATAGAAGACTCTTCAAATGACATAATTTTATTTTCATTTCTAATTAACATTAATTAATCAATTAATTGATTAATTAATTAATTGATTAATTTGATTAACAATTGAATGTAATTGATTGAAGAAAGAGAAACAAAACAAAAAACTTACAAAAATAAAATAATAATATCTAAAAATTATCGCCATCTAATATATACAAAAATAAGCTAAATATATGCAAAAGTAAAACCTGTGTATGTTGTGTGCGTGATTGTGTGTGCGTGTGTGTGCAAAATTATTTAATAAGGTGTAAATTAATGATGCTAATGTAATGCAAATGTAGGTTAAGGTATTTTTTAGCAACATAAGTATTATTATAACATGTCAACATGTTATATATATATATTATATATATGTATATATATATATATATATATATATGTGTGTGTGTGTGCGTGTGTTTATACACATAAATTTTGTACACAAATTGAAATAGTTGAATGATTTGATAAAATTATGACGTGCAAATGTATCATCATTAAAGCGTTCGTCCAACCGACCGCAATTGAAACTTTTCTAATATTGGTAAAAAAAAGGACAAAAACGCAGCGACGATATTTCAGCGGAATCTGACGCTCGTTTCTGAAGTGCGATCTTCATCCAAGGACAATAAATGCTAGTTATTTTTAATGGAAAATTGATTTTTGCCATGACAGCCGCTGAAGTGCTTCAGTTCGGACGAGAGGTTGAATGTTATTGTCACGATGAAAAATTGTTGGCTGGACACGAATGGCCGACTCTATTTTTTCACTAACTTGTGTTTCATTCTAAAAGATGAATTTTTTTTAATCGCTATTTGAACATTTTTGACTTCGGCCACTATTCAATATTCGGTGCATCTCTTATAAAAATATTTGCAAAATAATATTATTTTATTATTATCATTATTGTTATAATCAAGTTAAAGCTAAATTATGAAAATCATAATGAGAAAGCTAAAAAAGACGGTATCTGTGTATGTATGAATGTATGCATGAATGTATGTATGTATGTATGTATGAATGTATGTATGTATGTATGTATGAATGTATGTATGTATGTATGTATGTATGTATGTATGTATGTATGTATGTATGTATGTATGCATGTATGTATGTATGTATGTATGTATGTATGTATGCACGTATGTATGTAAGTAAAAAAAGTATGTATGTATGCTTTACGCACGTATGTTTGTATGCTTCAGAAATGACAGATAAACATGCTATTTTTCAAATTTGGTTTAAAGAATATTAAAACATTTACAAATATCTAGTTAGAAAGATGTAAAGATATGGATGAAAATTACTCATTCGCCCATTGTTTATTCATTTATATGTTTGTTCATACATTCATTCATCTATAATTTCATTCTTTCGATAATTCCTTTATACAACTATCCGCTAATTTATTATTATGTTATTAGTTATTCATTCACTCATTCATTCATTTACTCAATCATTCATTCATTTACTCAATCATTCATTCATTCAAACACTTAAAAATTGCTTTAATCGATAAAAGAAATACAAGCGAACGACTGACCGAATGAATGAATAAATGAATAGAAGAAAAATAAACGAATGAATGATAGTGATAAAAAAAAAATCAACACGCACACATCATGAGGAGGCCTCAGACGAAGAAATGTAAAAGAGTTGATACGCTAGAACCAAGAGAAGTGAACTTTTACGAGGTGGGAAATTTGAACAAAGTTTTTTAATAGCAATACTGCGCACAACGGAGGGCATGGACCTTTCGATCCCTCTCTAGGTCCGCTACTGACCTCAGCTCAGCTGTGAAAAAGAGCGGTTAAAGGTCATAAAATTATTGGGTCTGAAATCTGACATTACCAAAAATATTGGGAAGGCGCCCTGGGTGGTCATCTGTCCAGTTTCTGACGGTTTATATTTATATATTATAGTATTGTATGAATTCTACCAAATTGTTGGCATTAGTCAATTTAAAGTTTGTCTTTTCAATTTTCCTTAATAGAATTTTCTGGTAATTGTTCAAGTTGTTGAAAACAGAATTATCCAAGTTCATCATGAAAATTTAATGAAACTGTTGCTATCCGAATTCATCATGCAGATAAGGTAATTTCCAGAAAACTCTAGAAAAGAAAATTAAAGATAGAAGCTTTAAACTGATTAATGCCAACAATTCGGTTTATGCATGATAGAACAGAAAAGCTTTCATCGGTACACAGAAGATGGTACAGGAATACCGAAAAAAGCTTTTCTGTTCTATCATGTATAAAATATACAAAAATTTTTGTTTTGAACTAAAGAAACTTGAAAATGATTTACGATCAACCGTTAGAAAAATCGAAAATTTAAATTGGATGTTAACTAACGCCGAACATGCTGTGATTTTCATCAGTAATATATATATATATATATATATATGAATATGAATATTTTTAATTATTAATTAACTTATTTATCCAATCATTCATACCAACATTTTAAATCTTTATTTATTTATATTTAATTAATTATTTTAATTATTTGTTTATTTATGCCCATGAGTTATTTTACGCAATTTAAAATGAAGCAAATAAAAACAAATTGAATAAAATTAATAAAAATTTAACTAATCCTTAACTAGTTAACTAATTAATTAACATACTAATTAATTAATTAATCAATCAATCAATCAAACAAATTTAATTAATTAACTAACTGAAAAAATTACATACAATAAGATAATATTGATAGCATCAATAACAACAATCATAATAACATATCAAAAATGACAATAATAATAATAATAATAATAATAATAATAATGATGATGATGATAATGATGAATTAGGACTGTACATATAAGCAGCAAAACCTAGCCCAGTGAGATCACTTATGATTGATTGATTGAAGTGCTTCAAATGCATTGCTTACTAACAAATTCCTTCATTCACTCTTCAATTCTTTCATTCTTTCATTCATTCATTCATTCATTCACTCAAATATTCATTCAATTATTAATTAATTAACTAATTGATTAATTCATTCACTCATTCGTTTGTCCATTAATTTTTTATTCATTCGTTCGTTCAATTAATCCGTTCACTGATTCATTCATTCACATATCTATCCATTCATTCGTTCATCACTCCATCACCCTATCATCTTTTGGAAACTTTCTTTCCACCATCATCATCATTATCGTCACCATCAGCGACATTCAACAAATTTCCTTCTTCAGTATCACCCCCACCATCACGACCCCGGTCTTGCGCCAAAGCGGTAGTTGCCGCCAAACCGGAAGTGGGTCTGATGACGATGTCATCGCGACTGCTGACGCCATCTTCGTTACTACTGCTATCACCTAACCGGATGTAAACTTTGTCGTTGTTGTCTTTGTTGTAGTAGAGGTTTCTGTTGACGCTTCTGCAGCGGTCGCTACTGACGTTATATCCGTCAGGACTTGAGAAGAAGTTGTGGTTGTGGATGTTGCGGTGGCTTTTGGGGTGGCTGTTGAGGTTGGTGTTGTCGGAGTGGTGGACGGTGTAGTAGTCGGGATTGTTGTCGTAACAATAAGATGGAGCCATGTTGTTGTTGTTGTTGTTGTTGTTGTTGTTGTTGTTGAGGTCATCGTCATCATCATCATCACCAACGACGACATCAATCGTGACGTCATCAACTTTGCTGGGCTGTTCTTCTGGCGGTCGCTGTTGATTACTAACATCATCATCATTACTACCACCGTCGCCGTAGATCACGTGATTATAAT